TAGCTTAGTCTTAGTAAGCTGTTCCTGGATCTGATCTATGAGACCTTTTTTAACTGAAATGATCATTTGTATTTTCGGTACAAAATAGATTTATAGTTTGTATGAATATACTCCAGTTAGATATTTGTCCAATAGTTCAAACCTCTTCCATCACAAATCAATCAGAAGAGGATAGTTTTCTCGTCCTACATTTTCTTGACTTAGCTTTATAATCTTGTTTGGCTAAACATTTGACTTGATCATACCGCTATACTAAATTCGTGGTTATTAACTAGTTTTGTTGAGACCTTAGAGAATACTGCTGGATCTATACTCTACTCTGTTTTTTGGATTTACACTCTAAAAAGCCAATGCTGTTTCCCGATTTATAATTTCTTTCTCTAGAACTGCATTGAAATGTTTGGTTTTGCAATGGATCCGAAAAAAGATCTCAGTTTCGGTTAAAAACATTTACTTTGAAAAATGTCAACGGGGCATTCCGAGAATCGAACTCGGGACCTCTCGCACCCAAAGCGAGAATCATACCACTAGACCAAATGCCCTGTTTCTTTGCAATTTAGTTAAAATGCTGAAGATCACCGTATATGATCATATTATGATTTCGTTCTCTTAGTTGACTTCTCCTAAATATTTCAGCCTGCATGAATGTTCCTACAACTATTCTTTTTGTTTTGTTTTCTTTTATTTTTTGGTTTCCTTTATCATTAATCTTGCAAAAAAAAAAAAAAACTAGTGTTCTGAGAGAGATCATTTTGCAGGCATTTGGTAAAACTAGTGTTCCTGAATCCTAGTCATTTCAAAGAGACCTCTGCATCAAATGGGAGTGAACATATTGGTTTAGCCGTTTAGGGAAGCTAAGAAGCAAGAAGAACCAATGGACTAAGCAGTCAAATGGTTTCAAGCAGGTTTTCGAAGATTGGCAGGAATCAGAAACCTTCACTGCCGCTTTAGAGAAAGTTAAATTCTGGATTTTCTCTAGAATCGTTGAATCTGTTTGGTGGCAAGGTGCAATTTTAAGAAAGACTCCTTCTTTCATTGAGACTTTAAGAAATAATCATTCTTTAAGGCATCTCAAATTCGCTCTTGTTCTCGTCTGTCTCTCAGGTTTTCACTCCTCACATGCAATCCCCGGAAAATGGCGGTAAAACGAATGAGAAACTATTGGGACCTGTCTTGGGAGATACTTAGCAAGGGAAGCTTTTCAATTAGCCTGTGGAAAAACACTTTCAAAGTCTCTATCGCTGCAATGCGAGGAGCGGGGCACAAGTGCGGTTGCTTAAATACCTTGGCTAAAACGATATTGGATAATTTGCAGATTTCTCAATCAGGCTTAGCTCTTTCGCCACTTGAATCATGCTAATCAACAGCTCTCCTAAGTTGCTTACCTATCTTGGCTAAAATGGTATTCAGATTCTACATTTTGAAGCTAAAGCCAATAGCATAAACTATGTAAAAGCTATTGGAATCTTAACTTTTATGTGTACATTCTCTCCATACTATGTGTAACAGGTGATGGGGAAGTGTATAGCTAGCTATGTTCAACGCAATTCTGCGTGAGTCAGAGCATCAGATTCCCTCCGATCCTTGCTGGAGATTTATGCATTAGGACGAGCAGAGGTTAAAACTGCAAATCATTTGGATCCAACACAAGAGTTTAACAGAAAAATATGAACGTCAATGTTTTTCATACACAAACACAAAGACTTCAAGAGTTAAAAACAAAGGATAATTTTAAAAGTGCCACAAATTAACTACGACTTTCGTCTGCTATGCATAGAAGCTAGTCCTTACTCGATCCTCAGGCTCTGCTCTCTGCTTGGGGAGATTTTCGATTTCATGTCCCGAGAATCTGTATCTTCACCTCCGCTCTCATTCGCTTTGGGTGCACCACCTTCTGAGCTCCCGCTACAAGTGGCAGTACTAGTCTCCTTCCGCTTCAGCTTATAGTCAACAGATTGTGAGCTTCTTCTGCTTTTGCTGATAGGATTTCCTCCATCTAATAGACTTTTCCAAAGCCATACTGAACTTACAAACTCACGTTGCTTTATTGATTCGACATTATCATCATCAGACTCTGCCAAGAAAACTTTGTAACCTCTCGATTGCAAACCATGAAGAATACTAAGAAACTCGTCAATGTTTCGTGACATGTTTTTTGAGATTACCATCACGTTTCGTTGTACAGATTCCTCCACAGGATTGTCCAGTGCCCAGAAAAGAATGTCTTTGATCATCTTATTAACCCTCGCATATTTATCTCCTTTGGGTATAATCATGATTCCGGCTAGTAGAAACGCATCACAGATCTTATTCTTCTCATCATAAGCCCTAATTTCCACAATACTCTCATAACCCTTTTTCTCAAGAGCTGATTTGATTTTCTTATAAACCCAATCAGGATCGTGACCATCAGGGACCTGGAAATCCTCCACGTCCCACAAGACGCATGTGTGAACGATCTTACACTTCTTACGGAACAAATCTCTGCTCATGATTTCGACGGAGATTACTTGCTAAGAAAGACACTGTTAGGGTTATTTGTTGGAATTTGTGATTAACAAACGAGAACAGAGAATTGATTATTATTGATTGGATGAATAAAACTTCTCTAGTAAGTACTAGTAGTAACCTACAAATTTATAGAGTCATAACATAATTGCTGAAAAGGAAATTCCTATTCAATAAAGTAAAAACTAATTTATTTCCTATCTTAATAATGCTAATTGCTAAAGGAGACGTTTCCTTCTTCTTTTTTTTCGTAGAAACTGTGACCACCATTTTCAATCCCTAGATTCACCACCGTTTCATGGATCGAGACAACATTATTTAGGATTTCTCCAGTCTCCAACACTAACCCTAACCTTATACGCCGTCGTTTCAACGATAAACGTCTATAACTTGTGTTACTTGGTAACTTTTTCATATTGGAAAAGAGGCTTTCTCTGTTTTGACCTTTTTTTTTTGTCATTGTTCCATTGTCTCTTTGCTACAATTTAGGAGACTAGAAAAAACCTAAAATCCTGTTTGGTAACACTATGCAGAAAAGAAAAGAAAAACTGCAGAATAAACGATTTAGTCTTTAACCAAAAAAAAAATTAAGAACAGAGGAATCAAATGACTAACTTCAGTTTCTAGTTAAAACTTACAACATTTATGGCGTTAGAATTGGATAATTTAGTCAGATCCACGTTGACAAACAAAATAGAATTCAAAAATATGTATACATAGGGGGCGTTTGAGGTGCGGAGGAGAAAATGTGCCGGGTCCAAATTTTTTTTGGATATGAAAAAAGTAATTTTTAAAACTTTAAGATATTTTTATCATGAAAAGGCCTAAATATTTTATTTAGTATGAAAAAGACTAATTTTTAAGATTTTTTTAACATGAAAAATGTCCAATTTTTTTTTGTATGAAGAAATGGCCAATTTTTAAGATTTGTACTGGGATTATAAATTAATTGAGCCGGCCCTGTATGTATAAAGGATGCGTACATACGTTTCTAACAGATTTTGTCTGGCAGTTAAACTATTTGTTATGAATATGTAAAATCACATATAAAGAACAGCATGTGACTATGTTACGTGAATTAAGGCAAAGGATGATCTTACTCTTACATAAGGAAAGTTGTAACTAAACTCAACAACCCTTATTTGTTATCTTTCCCCCCTTTGCTGCAAAATATATTGGAGAATCTGAATAAAGCGGTGAACGAATTACAACTAAAAATAACTAGATGATGAACTTGTTCTTTAGTTTATTTAGGGAATGCAGAGTTTTTCGCAGGTTTGAGATGGACATACAAGAGTTGGGAAAGCTATGAGTCTATAGTGAGAAAGTAAAAACACCTTGTTTTTGTTTAATATGGTTTGCAGATAATAATTCAAGATACGGTCTCTAATGATAAAAGTATTCCAAGCCTTCCTCAGAGCCGCGCGCCAAGAAGCACCTATAGGTGTTGTATGCAGGCTAGTTGTATGAAAGCGACGAACTAAATTGATGCAAAAAATATGGGGCACTAATAAAAGCCATCTTCAAACTTTATTAAATGTTGGGTTGTTTTCTCCTCAAACTTTCAAGAATGAATCAACCACTTAACCTAGAATGTAAGTATTTTACCGACCTCAATTTCCATTATATTTGAGAATGTAATCATGTTGATATGAAGGACATAGGATAATGGACAAAGATGAATTAAAATAGGAAAATATATTTTCACAAGGAAATAATTAAAATACAAACACACTAATTCAAATCCCAATTGGAGATTGAATAAGGATTTTGACCGTAAGAATACTCTATATATACATTACAAGGATTTAGTACTAGATTGTGTTATCACGGAGTATCGAAAATATATTCATCAACGAGGAGAAGAGCTAAACGATGGCTACATGTACAAGGTGGGTGGATAGGTTATTATGTTTTCGTGTGGTTATGGCTATTTTGATTTGTAACTAATAGCTCGATTGCAATTGTTACTTTTTTTGCATGGCAGGTCCAGGAAGCAATTACTGAGCGATCAACTGTATCTAGTGGATGTGGGTGATGCTGGGGATGCGGTTTTGTCGGTGTGTCGAAATCCAAAAGCAAAAGAAAGATACATATGCAATTCTCATTCACTTCACAGTGATTCTCGTATGAAGAAGCTGAAGAATATGTATCCCAAACGGAACATCCCTGAAAGGAACAGAGTAGAAAGCCAATCCAACCACCCGTTGCTTTCAAACTTTGCGATTTCGGTCTGATGAAATGAATTAATAGCAGTTTCACGGAGATAAAAGAGAAGGAGGTGAGGCCTCTAAGTGTAGAGAAGTTGCAGAATTTGTGGTGGAAGTTTAGGTCATTAGAAGAATCCATTGCTGATTCTGTGGTGAGATTTTAATTAGTTTTGGGGTCCTATCTTCATCTTCCATGTCTGTATCACAACATTCTGCCAGTTTACTCTCCTCGTACAACAAGAAGCTTGTCACATTCACCACACTTGGTGTATTAAATACGGAGTATATCATAACAATGTGTGAAGAGTTTACAAATACCAAGAATGTCTTCAAATTCAGATACCAATAGCTAACTAACTTACAGATATGAAGAACTTCTTCTATTACTGCCAAAAGATGGGGAAAAAAAACATACCAAGTGGTGTGACTCACACAAGAGTCAGCTGTGTCTTTTTCTGGGACCGTATTCTTTGCAGAACAGTCTGCACATTGCGGTGATCAGACGCAAAAGCAAAGTCTTTAGCTGTATCACTATTTTGAATATCCTTGTCAGTAAAAAATGGTGACATTTCAGGTAAAATCTCAATCCCCGCCAAATGTTGTGCCCACTTGTATGGCCTCGAAGTTCTGCTCTCATCAAATGCATGATCATTGCCAAGAATGAGCTTGGCTGACTGAATAACCGTAAAGGGTAACAAGCCAACAAAAGAAAGTAAGTATCAATGCTTTTACGAAAATAGTCGTAATAAAATGGATGTGAACGAAATATAAAGACACAAAAAGGATAAATGTATGTACCTGATGAGGAGGCTCAAGTCCAGCATCTTCTGGAAATAAGTTACATAGTATATTTTTCTCAGCTCCATCCTGAGACTTTTCAATGCCGACACATACAATATTCAACTTCAACAAGTACTCAAACTTGAGCACAACAGGTTTATGGGACTTCGAATCTGGAATCTCATCGTCATAAACATGGAGGACAACATTAAGAGGATTAACTTGATATAGTCCTTCCTCATCAGAACCCTCTTTCTTAGGTCGTTTCCTTTGCCTTTTTCCATCATCATCTTCATCATCAATCTCCATTCTTAGATTCTCTACATTATTGAACATACATAGCATTTTAAAAGAGCAAATAAAGCACTCTATTTTCACTTCTTATGGTTTCAAAATTCCTAACCTGAGTTCTGTTCTGCTTGCTGCCGGGCATAACTTTGAGCATCATTAAGACTCCCAGATACCTCAACATCAATATTCTCTTCAAAAGCTTCCTTTAGTGCCATGAACTGTGAATATATAACATAAAGCGGAGGAGGAAGAAGCTCAGCTAGATTATGATACTTGAGCTTCTTCTGATTCTGCAAACTCAACTGGCTCTGTACTGGCAAAGATGCTTTCTTTAGAGATTTGAGATGCACCGGAAGACTCGACAGAAACTTATTACGCTCCGCATTCGTTTCAATCAAACACTTCTTCTGTTGCTCCAACCTCACTCTAAGCTTGCATAGTTCTTTCCTCTGTGTATAATAAAGCTTAAACATTCAATCACCATTGAACCAAAAACTCCTACAACATCTAACATATGAACTTAGTCTAACGATTCGAGCCAGAGATTATGGTTACTACCTACTGAATTAAAGACATGGACTTTGGAATGAAATTTACCTGATGAAGCTCAAAGTTTAGTCTTTTAAGCATCAAATCATGAGAACTATCATTTGATAACGTTTGAGATTTGATTGCTTCAGGAGCATCACTGAAGAAGTCTTGTTCAGATATGAGATCGATGTTTGGATACATAGATTTGAAATCTCTACTAGCTTTAGTAGCTTTGAGGTAATGACTCTTCTCATACATGAGATTGTGAAGCTCCAATGTCGTGAAATCCACCGGAGATTTTGCTAGTTCCGTTTCGGTTTTCAATTTCTCTTCTTCTATAAGAATCGCGCGATTTGCTTGACGGAGATTGATGAAGTTGAGAAACATTTGAGTGAGGAGTTCTCGATTCTCGGATTTTGGGGTTCCTTGTTGCTTTATTGAGAGGAGCTTTGTGATGATTGCTTCGACGGAGGCTTTGGTTTCTTGAAGTAGCTCAAGCGGTGATTTCTCCGCCGTAGCCACCGTGTCTTTCGCTATCTCCGATTGCATTATTCGTGTGTCTGAAGTCTGATTTTGCCGAGTTCGGAGAGAGGGTTTAAAACTGTCCCTGGGCAATTGGAAGAACCGGTCCAATTTGGTTCGAAATTTTGGTATTTTCAATGTTCGGTTTGGGAAAATTTCACCGAATTGGACTGAGTCCGGTTTGTAAAGGACGAATTTCGGTTCGAATTGGAATCAAAATTAAATTCGATCCAGTATATAATTGAATAGGTTTCGATTGAATTTGGTACATTTACAGTTTGCTTTAGTAGTTTCGGTGTATTTAAAATAAAATTTTGATAATTTTAGTTTGTTAGTTCTGAACCAAACATAATCAAACCTGTTAATTTTGATCAATTTTTGAAATAAAAATTTCACAGAACTATACGAAAATTAAAGTTTAATTTGGTTTGTAAAGGACAAATTTCGGTTCAGTTAAGGTAAACAAAATAGTGAAGAATTGAAATTGAAACTAAATTTGGTTTAGTTGAATAATTTTTGTTTATTTTGGTATATAATTTGGTATGTTTTGGTAATTTCAGTGAAATTTAAAGTAAATTTTCTATAATATTAGTTTGTTAGTTTTAAACCAAACATAATCGAACCGATTAATTTTGATTAATTTTAGTTTTGCAGAACTACTAAAGTAGTGCTGAATTGGAATTAAAACCAAATTTGGTTCAGTTAATTATTGAATAATTCTTGTTCAATTTTGTATCTCCGACCATGTCGCCGTAGCTTAAAATTGTGGTTCGTGAGGTAAAATATGAATATCTGACTTCATTTTTCTTTTGGTTCAGCTTCTTTTTTTTATGCTGATGGGTGAAGAATAAAATTGTCAAGTCTCTGGTCAAGTCCGAGTCTTATGCGTTTGTTTTGAAGTTGTTAGTCTTTGAATAAGTCATCCTAGTTTATAGGAAGCACATGAGTCGTGGTGATTTCTAGGAGTTTGTTGCTTTGTTTCTTCTATTTAAGCTATTGGAGTCTATAGTGTTTTCCTTATCACTTTCAATAGAACAATCCAGTTCATTATTTTGCTCTCTGATATACAACAATGAGTCGGTTTTACAGTTTAACCAGAGATCTGGATCTAATCTTTGTCGTTCACTCTTTATTGTCTCTCCGACCATGTCGTTGTATCCTAAAACTGTGGTTCGTGAGGTAAAATCTGAATCTCTGATTTCATTGTTACTTTGGTTCAGCTTCTTTTCTTTTTATTTGGTGCTGATGAGTTTGTTTTACAGTTTAACTCTGGATCGATTCTCTGGCGTTCACTCTCTTCTTCTGGATCTCCGATCATGTCTCCATATCTGGTTCGTTTGATAAAATCTGAATCTTAACCAAGAATGTCACATTCTTGAATCTATGATTTTGAACCTGCAAAATCTTCAATTACCTACAAAAAGTATATTATTGAATAATTTCGATTGAATTTGGTACATTTACAGTTTGTTTTAGTAGTTTCGGTGATATTTAAAATAACATTTTGATAATTTTAGTTGGTTAGTTCTAAACCAAACATAATCAAACCTGTTAATTTTGATCAATTTCGAAATTAAAATTTCACATAACTATACGAAAATGAAGTTTAATTTGTTTTGTAAAGGACAAATTTCGGTGCCGAATTGGAATTGAAACTAAATTTGGTTTAGTTGAATAATTTTTGTTTATTTTGGTATATAATTTGGTATGTTTTGGTAATTTCAGTGAAATTTAAAGTAAATTTTCTATAATATTAGTTTGTTAGTTTAAAACCAAACATAATCGAACCGATTAATTTTGATTAATTTTAGTTTTGCAGAACTACTAAAGTAGTGCTGAATTGGAATTACAACCAAATTCGGTTCAGTTAATTATTGAATTATTCTTGTTCAATTTGGTATGTTTTGGCAAATTTCGTTCAAATTTAAAATAAAATTTCGATAATTTCGGTTTGATAGTTCCGAACTAGACTGTTTATCAAATATTATGCTTCTTCTTGCCGACCAGTTTCATCATCCGATCAACCAAATCCGAATCAAATTAGACAAATTTCGGTTTGATTTGCTTTATATGCCAAAGTGTTAAAAAACTAGATTTTACTCTACGGTACATCGCGGATCAATTTATTATAACTAAAAAATTAAAATTTAAGTCATATTTGTTTTGTTAATATGTTTGTTTTGTTGAGTGTTTAAGATTGTATAATTGTATTTTGATTGTTACTTCTAAGATTTCACACGTAGTTTACCGTCCCGTATTAATATCGACCCAAACCTGTCTCACCATATAATCCCGTCCCGTAAAATTACAAATTTCTAATATTTGAAATTTCATAAAAAATTTCATATTATAAATATTTAAAACGTTTAATAAAGTTTAAATAATTATTATATTTAAATTTTAATAAAGTTTAAATATTTATAATATTTTGAAACTTTACTTTTTAAAAGTTTCAATTCTTTAAGATAAAGAACCGGAGTAAACCGGATAACATCTTTAATTTTGGTCATCTGATAAATCAAGCTTCCTACTTATTCGTATTCAGAATCATTTTGGTCATTTTTATAGTATGACCCTGAACCATTGCCCAAAATTTTAAACAATGTGGGATATTGTACACATATTATTTCTTCAACGATTGAATAATATAAGTCCGTTTTAAAAAATTTGTATCACGTCATATGGAAAAAAAATCTAATATTTTATTAACTATATTTCTTTTATCTAAATTCAAATTAAATTAAATATAAGATGAAATAAAAGTTAAAAGAAGAATTATATATTTATGTTAAAATTAGATAGAGAAGTGTTAGGAAATTAGCAATTAATTAAATATAGTTAAAGAAAGATAAGATTTAAGAGAGAATTAAAGATATAAATCGTCTCGTTAGGATAATATCTTCAATTAGATTTTGGGAATGTTTAGAATTTAAGACGAAGAGATTGGAATGTAAATAAGTTACAATTCAAAGATTGTTGTGGACCAAAAACCCTCCAAAAATGTATATGTAGATACCAAACCAGAAAAACTAGTAAACGGCGTCGTTCCAAATACCAAATATAAGAAGAGAGGTCTGTGGAGGTTTTGATTCATACTCCTAAAAGAATGGGAAAGGTCACAGGCAAAGTAGAAGAAGAAGAAGGTGAAGCTATTGAAGCTCTAGGTTCTCTCTTCAAGCTCACTCAAATCCACCTATGGTACTAATCCTTTGACTTTTAAATATAAGATTAAGTTTTTTCGTTGAATTCTGATTCTCGTCTGTTTGAATCCTTCAGGGTCGATACAGATACTCATTTAGTTCCTCTCTCCCATGAACACAGCAGTGTTGATGATACTTCTGGAATTACCAGTATGTCTTGCTTTTAGGTTAATCTTCAAAGTTTTGATTTTTATTTTTTTTTCTGGTAAAGATGTTGAAAAGTTGTTGAATTTTAATTTTGTTATAGACATTAGGTCTGATGAGATGGGATTGATGAAAGAGATGAATGATCTCGGTCTTCCGGTATCCTTTCGAGCAAGCAAAGAGGTACCTTTTGCTCCATTTATTGAAATTGATGGGTTTTAGTTAGTTTATTACATGCTCTGAGAATTCAACAACTTATGTAGTGGAAGAACAGAACTAGAGGGTATCAAAAGAAAGGAATCAAGGATCGATTAGACGACGAGGTTAATGTTATTCTCCAAGAAGAAGAAGATAAGGATTTAGCAGTCAATGTAGTTTTGGTTTCTGATTTGAAGACTCCAGAAGAGGAGGTTGACATACCGTCTTTGGAGGACGATTGTGTTCAAGTAACTGTAGTTGAAGAAGAAAATCATGAAGTTGTTGTAGAGAGATGTGTTTTGGGAAATGGAGATGGAGACTCAGTGTTGGCATCAGAGACAAGAGATTCTCATGACTCTAGTGAATGGAAGGTCTACTGGGATTCGTTCTATGGACGAAGTTATTTTTACAATGTTAAGACACAAGAGTCCACATGGGAGCCGCCACTTGGGATGGAGCATCTAGCTTATAGCGATGAAAGCCATAACTTGAATGAATTGGTTATAGAGGTGATTTGAGATTGATCTCTGCCTTTTCATCTTTCTTGTAAACTTTCAGGAGATTTTGTTTATTTACTGTATGTTCTTTTTTTTTCTTCTCTTGGTATTAAGACAACAGAGAAGCCACATGATGAGCTCTTTGGAGCTGGACCTGCTGATGATGTTACCACTGAAAAAGCTGAAGATCTTGGTGGAGTTTGTCAACGCCAATGTGAAATAGAAGCCCTAGAGGAAGTTAACAGGTATTACAATTTTATAAAATGTGGTCTTTGTTCGTGCTGGTTTTTATAATGGCATTATATTGCTGGTTTTAACAAAGGGAATAAACAACCATATCTTCTGCAATACCTTTTAGTTTTAGCTATTGATCACTACAATGTTGATGGAATTAGTATGTGTCAATCTTACCAAGTGTAATAGGCATTGATAAGTATTCTTGTATGGCAATACTTGATACGACTACAAGCAGAGTTGTTTTGGCACAACTCTAAACGTTTAGAATGTTTGTAATGGTCTTGTTTGTAGCTATTGATATAAAGCCGACAGTATCTTAAACATTTAGGTATTAATGCCATAACTATGAAACTACCGGTATGCTTAAAAAACATAATCTTGATTTTATGTCTGTTGTTGAGCCTCCTTAACAGCAGCCTTCTAACAATTTCCTTGTTTCCAGTTCGATTGATACATACCAAGAAACTTCCATTGGAAATCAATCTTTGGATATTACTACTCTTGATAAAGAGGGAAACGGTGCATACGTTGTCAGTTCTGTAAAGATGGCTAATAAAGAGTCGAGAAGATCTCGAGCCAAAAAGGAATTACTCAATTCGTACACAGGTTTGCAATACCTACTGCATACCTTTAGTTTTGAATTTCCATAGCTGTAGTTGGTCCGTTTGTAAAATCTTTTAGATTCTTCTGTGAGCAGGGACTGGAATGAAAGGTGTTCTTGAAGAATATTCTGCAATCCTTGGCAAGTATTGGTGCCAAAGATACCTCCTCTTCTCCAGATTTGATGAAGGCATCAAAATGGATGAGGAAGGATGGTTTTCTGTCACTCCTGAACTTATAGCTAAGCATCATGCCACACGCTGTAATGAAGGCATAGTAATTGACTGTTTTACAGGAGTTGGTGGAAATGCTATTCAGTTCGCATCAAGGTGAGTGAACATACATATTTTATACTAATGTTGTAGTGGCTTACACTTTTTAGTATATAATTTTGGCAGTTCTTAGTCACTCAATCATTGCTAGATATTCACACGATAGCAGGATTTGGTTTAACCAAGATTTCTCCACCAACTAATGGAAGTAGCGTTTTGCACATTTTTAGGCAATTTCCCTGACTCATTTTCTGCTGTGTTGTGTCTTTAGGAGTCACTATGTGATTGCAATTGATTTGGATCCAAAGAAACTTGATTTAGCACAGCATAATGCTGCCATATATGGTGTTGCTGATAAAATCGACTTTGTGAAGGGAGATTTCTTTGACTTGGCGCATAACTTGAAGGTTTTTTTCTTCAACTCTTCTCAAATTTTGTGGTCTTAGAAGTCTGGAAATTGAAAAAAAAAAAATTATTGTGCAGGCAGGCACTGTATTCCTATCGCCTCCTTGGGGAGGCCCTGATTATCTTAAAGTGAGTACGTATGATATGAAGACAATGTTGAGACCTCGTGACGGGTATGTCTCTTGTGTTGATTATTATTTGGTAGTTACGCGTTTTAAGCTCTTACTCTCTTTCCAATTTCCATGATGAGAAATATATCCTCACTGTCCCTGGATGATGCAGAGAGGCTCTATTTAAGGCGGCCATGAACATTGCGTCAACAATCATTATGTTTCTACCAAGAAATGTTGATATTAACCAATTGGCAGAACTAGCCTTATTGACATCTCCTCCATGGTCACTAGAGGCAAGTGTTTTTTTCTTATCACTTTCCTAGTTGGTCAATTATGTCTATGAGCATATTGTTTGAAATTTAAAAAGGCATTCTAAGAAATTGCATAGATTCTGATGCTTATTCATGATGATCGGTCACTAAAAACCGATGTTTGTCATCTTGTTGCATATTTGAAGCAAACCCTATTTGTCTAACAGGCAAGCCCCAATGTTTTCAGGTAGAGAAGAACTACTTAAATGGGAAGCTGAAGGCGATAACAGCGTATTACGTAAGACAACATAGTTGTTAGAACTTAGAAGAAGATAGTGATTCTTCTCACACAGTCAATGCAAGAAGGCCACAAATAACAAAGGTATCGTGCAATCTGCATTTGTGTCAGCTTGTTGAATCCAAGTAGATGAAAATTGATTTGTGACCATAGGTTATGCGTTTGTATGTACAAAATGTGTTTTGTAAACTCATTCAGAAATTATGTGTTATGCTATCACTCATTGCTTAAACTGTAAAATTTGAAAATGAAAACGAAATGAGACATTTGTCCACAATCATTTTGTCAGGATCATGTGCAACAGCATTGTACTGTTGTATCCTATCCTTTGTTTGGCCAAGCAAACAGAACACGATGAGAAGCAATATACGCAGCCAAAAATGCACATTTGTCCGATATGAAACATTAGATGAGTTTAAACACACAAAAAAAGCTTCTACAAAACGTCAAAGTGGAAGAAGAAAAAAAATGAACTAAAGAGGAAAACAAAAGTTATGAAAGGAAGAATGAAATGTATACATTATGAAAATAAAAAATAAAGAATAATATGATTGAATCTATTACCGGGCGTAGCCCGGATTTTCTTCTAGTTACACTAAAAATTCGATATCTATAAATCTAGATTTATCTTGACAAAAGCTAATAGCAACTAAAAGAAAAATATATACCAAAAAAATTATACAAAACACTATATTTGAAATATCGCTATATCATGAATCATACATATATAATGATCTCTTCGATAAAACTTTTATTATCCTTATTTTAAGCTAATAATTGTTCGGTATTCTTTCTAATATAGATACAAAATTTGATATTATGTAGATATGTGATTTACTCAATATTTGTTTGTGAGATTTTACTTGAAGAAAAAAGAGATATACTTTTTTTTGGTGAAGGGATGAAAAAAAAAAAAAGACATAAAGACACGTGTTAAAATCTAATCAATTAGTTGTATAGTAATTTCTAATATTTATTAAAAAAACCATGTTAATGAATAACTTTGAGAAATTAAAATTTATATAATATGATGGTAGTAATAATGATCATAGATCTAATGGTTTAGACAATTTTAAAATTAATGATTTTTGCTTTTGTTTTTATGTTAGGGACATATGATGTATATTCGAAAAAAAAATAATGTTAATTTCTCAAATGTAATTCATTTTAATATAAGTAGGATTGTGTGTATTTGTTTTTTTTTTTTTTGAAATATTATACTTCGTAATATCATAATTGTTTAATATTTACTTCTCTTTTTTTTTTCTTTTTTTTTTTTGTGAACACCAAATTTTGATATTTACTTTTTTTTTTTTTTGGATAAATTCAACTACGCTTCTTTGCCCAAACCCCCAAGTAGATAATGACTATAAATATGGTTGCATTGATTAAGATATAAAACGTGATTTTCTTATTATTCTGGTTTCTTACTGCAGAGATAGATATCATGGATAAAGTAACGACTATTTTGATAGCTTGTACTGTCTTCCTTACCTTGTGTCTCATGATAATGCATTGTGTTAAGAGCTACATTGGTATTAGTAATAGTTTGGTTGCCGGCGGCAGCCGTGACTGCGGTGTCGACAAAGGTGGAGGGAGCAGCTGTGACTGCGATGTCAGCAAAGGTGGAGGCGTCAGCCATGACTGCGGTGTCGGCAAAGGTGCAGGCGGCAACCGTGACTGCGGCAAAAGTTGTGATGGTGACGGTCATGGTAGAGGCGACGGTTGTGGTAGCACGCCTGTGGTGGTGGTTGTTGTGACTGTAGCTATGTGTAACGATTGAATTATGCAAATTTAACTATTTGTCCATTTCTTTTTTTTAATTTCTCCCGATTGGTTTGGAGTTTGGACTGGTACAACACAATCTTTTTACCTGTTATATATGTTCATCACACAATGTAACATCGTCATTCAGACTTCTTTAATAAAATTAATTTAAAATATATTTTTTCTTCTTGTTTTTGGGGGAAACAGGTCCGACTCAAAAGTATTTTGGACCTTGTTCCAAGTTGAAAACAATTCTGAAAAATGTTCTTAATACAAAAATTCTAAAACTTTGGAGCCTTCAAATAGAACAACTTTTTCATATCCCCACTAAAAATATATGTTAAATTCATACACAAATTAGTAAATTACACCATCATGCTAAATCATACATCTACTAATGAATTTGTATAGAAACATACATGAGCCACTAGCCGCCGTAACCGTGTTAAGTCTCCGTGAATTTGTGTTGCAACACCATGTATATTGTTTTCTTCAACTTCCTATCATGTTGTTATGAAAAAGATATTCATGGTCGCATCATATCTTCTTCTCCGAATAATCAGTAATACATATTATTTTATTGTTATTCAATTTTATAGAAGGCCCAAACACATTATATATGACGAATTTTTGATAGGAACGAATATTTTAGCAACGACATATACAATCTTCACCAACTACAACAGGATCACATGGCCAAGTGCAATCAGCGCATGGAGCCTTTTTGGGATGCACCACATAAGGAGAAGTTTTTTTGGTTAATTATATGCGAGATGGTTTCATGCTCCAACATATTTCTACCTTCCCCACGCTAATACTTGAGAATGTTATATCTACAACGTTAAACTAGACTAAGTGTTGACATTTGGGGTTCTTCCTCTATTTAACCTTTAGAGGTTCACCCATTCTTCTTTCTCTCTTTGTTCTCTTTAATGCTTTGCATCACTCACTCACTTTAACACAAGCACAAAGAGAACCTTAACTCTCATTCTCTCTAGTCTTTGGTTTGTTTCTTGCTATAAAAAGACATAAAACGTTTGGTAAGAGAGAAGAGAGAAACCATTAATTGTCTACATTTTTGTTATTGGATCACAAGATGATTCTTAGAGCATATGCAAGGGCGGAACACTTGGTGTGTTCTTAAGGGTTTTAAAATAATAAAAATGTTGAATAGTGGATACAACTGTTCTTAAAATTATAAAAACAGTTTGCAGGATAAGTTAGAACTGTTCTACCACTGTTCACCTTATTTCCTATTTTTAAATCCTAAGAACACACTCAAAAGTTCCCCCCTTGCATATGGTCTTACAAGACACAACACACACATACTTATACTAGTTGCTACACTCTTACATTAATACTTGCACCATGCTTCTACTTAGACCTAGACCTTACTTCTAGACATCATTGCCGAAGGGTCACTTACACAAGCAACCTTAACAACTACAACAACTACTAACAACTTTAACTATTCTAGTTAGTCCTTAGCTAAGCTTAGACTAACAACAACACACTTCTTCTCATTTGGGCCTAACTTAACAATTGGCCAATATTAACATTATTACAAAACACACAAAGCCCAACTCTTTCTTCTTGTTGACTTGTGTCTTCTCTTTGTCCTCTTTGACTCTTCTTCACGACATCTTCTTCTTCCTTCAATCACGAGACTTTGCTTCTTCTTTTGCTCTGTTCTTTTGCAATGTTGTTCTCATTGAAGCTTTCTTCTTGGTGCAGGATTTAATCAAGGATCCAACCTCCAACACTAAGTCACGCTAATATTATTTTCAATAGTACTTTACCAAAAAAATATTATTTTAAATAGTAGTAAGTGTTGTTGATTAAATTTTAGATTATTCATATGCTCAAAATCTCCGAGATATAAGAAATACAAGGCTTGGAGTACCTAAAACTAAGTTCAGCGAACTTACGGAATAGGAGGCAAAAGAAAGTGAGAATGTTAGAGACTCGCTTCATTTTCTTTGGAAATTTTATTACGAAAAGAGATTTCAAGAGTAAAACCATTAAACCAGTATTGATATTGATAACTTATCACCCTTTCGTGCAATTTCTATATGTAATTTTTTTTTTTTGTAGCCAAATGTGTATATGGTTTCTTTCTAGAAAATATTTAATAACTAGATCATAGCTCGTGCTTTTTTTTTTTTTTTTTTTTTTTTTTTTTTTTTTTGATAAACCCTATCGGCTATCCGGTCGGCCCCGGTAGGAACGCACCGAGGTGCTACATAGTGGACTGGTCCACCGTGTTAACGGTTAGGCCCTTACGGGCTACTACTCTGCCTATCCCGAGTTTGGAATGCCTTCCGACTAAGTGCCAGGGGGTAGTCAGGCCCATAGCTCGTGCTATACAGCACATAAAAATCTCATGCTATACAGCACGTTTAGTCACATTGCCCTTATTGATTTACGTGTCTGAGAGTTTTCGGAAAGACACAACCTATTTTGTTTTCTTGAAGACCTCATGACCATGTTAATGACGCATGTAGAAATCCCGAAAACTTGGATACCACCCACAAATCCCGAAAACTTGGTGGCTTAGTTTGTTTGTTGCCTTGTGTGTAGCTGTTGTTGTAGTTGTAGGTTTGGTTGCAAGCTTGTACTTTGGCGAAGCAATTTGGAGTAATTGGGACATGGTGAATGGAGCCGTGAAGGACAATCGGCTTGGTTACTTTGGTTTTAGCGTGCGTATCCGCTGGGGGAAGTGTGTAGGGGAGACTAATGTTGTGAGTAAGGTGGAGCCGGCTTATCCATCTCTCGTGCTAGCAACAACATTGGACTCTGATGAGCAGTTCCCAAGCCGCTAGTGTTGACGCAGATTTGACCAATGGTGGGTCCGGTCTATGGTTTCTCAACCATAGTTTTTTCGAGCGTTTTCGTGATCGAGAAAGCTGTAAGTACTTCTAGTGTGAAGTTTTGAGGACGGGCTTTGCTTGCGGACGCTCGCGGCAATCTTGAGTTCATGTTGCGTTCTGCTTTTGTCCTTCTCTGTGGTGGTTTCATTCCGTCTCGTCGCTCTTTCCGTTTTGTTCAAATTTATTTGCTTGCTTGTTGTTATGTTTCTTTTTTCTTTTGTTTTGTAGTTGGTCTTTTCCGCTTCTTGTATCTCTCTGTAATCGTCTGTCTCAAATCAAAATGGTATAAAACTTAACCTTTTACCAAAAAAAAAAAAGAGTTACATAGATGATCCTGACAGCCGAAACATAGGTTCAAATCCCCAGTAGATAATCTCGGGTTGTTCCCAACTTACGAAGTCGGAAGTTCCCTATCAACACCGAATTCAACCGTAAAAAAGATCCAAATTTTCATCCAAACAAAATGAATAAAGTAATATTTAAAATGCTCAACAATAAATAACAAATCTAAAAATAATATATTGCACACTCATATAAAAGATATATATATATATATATAATTAACATAAGAATATAATAAACATTCAAAACTTATTTCCCATCAATAATGGAAAGCTTGATGTTTGAAAACAAAGAAAAAAAAAACAGACCAATCAATATAGGGTTTGATTGGTGAACAATTTTAAAGTTGTACAGCTTTGTACAGCTTTGACAGTTACCAATCACAAAAGCTTTATGAAAAGCGGTACAGATAACATAAACAGTTTTTTTTGGACAAAAACAAAAACAAATTAAAACGGTTATGGTTAAATACGGTTACGATTAAATACGGTTATAACGGTTACGGTTAAATACGGTTATAACGGTTACGGTTAAATACGGTTACGGTTACGGTTACAACGGTACAAAAACAAGTTTTTTTTTGGACAAAAATAAAAACAGATTAAAATAATAAAAACTATATCAAACTAAAATTAGCTCTTCACTATTTTTTAGGCATGACCACGGTTACGGTTATTACGGTTACAGTTAATTAATCACCGGTTACGATTTTTTTTTTTTTAAATGTAACATTAACTATTATATATACGGTTAAAACGGTTACGGTTAAATACTGTTACGGTTACAACGGTTACGGTTAAATACGGTTGCAGTTAATATATTTTTTAACCGTAACTAATTATTTTTTACAGTTAACGGTTACGGTTTCTAACCGTTTTATACGGTTACGGTCCGCTTATGGTCTGAAATACGGTTACGATTAGCTTTTGGTCATGCCTACTATCTTCGACTAGGCATGACCAAAAGCTAACCATAACCGTATTTGGACCATAACCGGACCGTTTTTGTATAATTTTAATTTTTTCATAACCATTTAATTGTCATCACATAATTTTAAATTTTCATATGTAATTATATATTAAAATACATTTCTATGTAATTTTTTTTCTAAACTCATAATATTATTTATTATTTGTACCGCTATAATGTTTCCAACCAAAACAATTTTATGAAAAGCGGTACACTATAACATAACAGTTTTTTTTTGGACAAAAACAAAAATAAATTAAAACCGTTACGGTAAAATACGGTTATGGTTAAATACGGTTATGGTTATAACGGTTACGGTTAAATACAGTTACGGTATACATTTCTATGTAATTTTTTTTTCTAAACTCTTAATATTATTTATTATTTGTACCGCTATTATACAACAATTACGGTTAAATATGGTTACGGTTATTTGATAACTATAACATAACAGTTTTTTTTGGACAAAAAGCTAACTGTAACCGTATTTTGGATCGTAACCGGATCGTTTCTCAACCGTAACTGTATAAAACGGTTAAGAACCATAACCATTTACCGTAAACCGGAATTAGTTACGATTAAAAAAATATATACTAACCGTAAACGTTAATATACCGGAAACGTATCAAAACCGTTATTTAACCGTACGGTTAACCGCACAGTTAACCGTATTATTAACCGCATAATTAAACTTTATAAAATATAATTGTAATTAAGTAACCGTTGGTTAATCAACCGTATCCGTAATAACTGTAACCATGGTCATGCCTATCTTCAACAATTATTTATGTAAAACCAAAAAAAAACAAAAAAACCTCTAAAATATTATATCTTTCTGCGTTTTTTTTTTGTACAGCTTTGGTGTTTTATTCTTTTGTACAGCTTTGCACTATTCCCTAAAAGCTAACAGCTCCAGCTAACAGCTAACAGCTAACAGCTAACAGCTAACAGCTTGTTACCAATCAGACCCATAATTCATTAAAATTCGTATCTAC